AATTAAGAAAATCATTCCAACATAGCTGTTGTAAGCAAAAATTAATCATGAAAAAAACCTTCTTTATCTCTGGCTGGTGTGGCTCAGTACATTGAGTACCCGCCTATAAACCAAAGGGTCGCTGGTACAACTGATACCTGGGCTGCAGGCCACATCTCCAGTAGGGGACACAAGAGAGGCAACCACACACTGATGTTTCTCTCCCTCTCTTCTTCCCTTCCCCTCTCTAAAAAGAAATTTTAAAAATCTTAAAAAAAAAAAAGAAAAGAAAAAAGCCTTATGTAAAAATAGATGGCTTCAATGGTAGGGTATGCTTATCTACATGGAAAATATAAGAGAATCGACTCAAAAACTGTTTAATAAATAGATTCAGAAAGTGACTAGTTACAAAATAAATACACATAGAAAATCAGCAAATCTTTACTTACCAGCAAAAGTCTGGTAAAAATACATATACATACAAATACACACACACAGAGACAGAGAAAGAATCATATTCACAGTAATAAAAAATAGAATACAGTGGACTGAATAGTGGACATTATGACACTGCTTGTCATAATGACTGAAAGGAATCTAGGTGTTGAAGAATGAAGGACTTACAGTGCATTCACACAATAAAATACTGGATATTACGGAACCACTAAAAATCATGTGGGAGGGTAACAACATTAGTAATATGAAATGTTACATGAAGAACAAATGCAAGCACCAAAATGGCAAGAATCCACTTTTGGTTTTAAAAATCTATGGTAGGTAAAGCTACACATACTCATGTTTATCTGTATATATCTAACAATATACACACATAACACACACAGGATACACAGGATAAAGAAATTAAAATTACCCCTGAATTAGTTTAATGGAAATGAAGGTTGGAAAAGGGAGGCAATTTATCTCAAGCCTCACTACACCACACACATCTACCTATCTAAATGGTTGTTCTTACTACAAGACTCTTGGACTTCAAGAAGCCTAGTTTAATGAATGCAGTAAACAAAGATGGAAATAGTGGTACCACCTGCCCATCTCCTACCAACTCCATCTCCCCCTGGAAGCACTACCAGAGATCCAGGATAATCAATCCACTATCTCACCCCAGGATGGCAACAGATGTAACATTAGTTAACTTCTCTTAGAGTTAACCTGCAAGGTAGCCACTCCACCTGGGAAATTCTAAACAGGTCCATACTGATCCCCAGTAATCATCAGGAAACAGAATGCATGCCTCTGCAGCCAGGGCCTGTAACTTAGAGTCAGTTTACTGGCACTGTTATCACCGCAATTCCATCAGAAGGAGGAAGCATCTCCCCAAAGCAGTTACATCAGAAGTGGGAGCTTACTTCTCACTCACCTAAGTATGCTGAAGACCCACTACAAAAAAGTGGAGACCTAATGACTTTGGTTCAAACTTTTCATCTTCTTTAAGAACAAATTTTTAGTAACACCGAAACACTCCTGCTAACCAAAATTGTGACCCATCTTTCAAAACTAGTACTTGCAGTACAAATCTAATTTTTTTCAGCCTCTCTCAAGGCGAAATAACCCTGAAGAAAACTTAAAAATTTGCAACACAGTAATTATTTCTTATCATTTATTTTTATAAAATTTCCACATTAGGCATTAATTTTTGTTAACGGAAGAAAAAAATTTCTCATGGCAGGCTAAACAATCACACTGTAATTACCTGACCTAAGATACACATCCAGAGCATCATTTTCTTTAGACAGATACAACATACCTATTCTGTCAAAAATTATCACATAAAATTAAGCCTAATCAATTTTAGAAAGTAAATCGTTTTTCTAAATGTAGACTTCCTGACCTACAAAAATTTATAAAAATTTGCAAATGTCTATAATGTTTATTTCAAACCTCTTATACCTATTTTGTTTTTTAAAAAAGTAATACAATAACCACCTTTCCTAGGCAACCGAGTTAAGGAAAATAACAGGCCCTGGCCTAGTAGCTCAGTTGGTTAGAGTGTCATCCAGATACGCCAAAGTTGTGGGTTTGATCCACAGTCACATACAAGAATCAACCAATTAGTGCATAAATTAAGTGGAACAACAAACTGACCTTTCTCCTTCTCTCTCTCTCCCCCCTGCTTCCCTTCTCTCAAAAATTAATAAATTAAAAAACGACAAACAATAAATCTGGAATTACTAAATATTTTCATGGAGTCAGTCACAGATACTGCACGTAGCACAGAACAATGACGGAATGACACTATCTTTAGATACTTTTCATACAAACTGATGGCTATCTGATGAGCACTACTGCATGCCAGGACCTATACTAGGTGCTAAAGATACAAAATGCTAACACAGAAATCCTATATTCCAGATCTCTGCCTGTCTAGCCAAAAAAACATACACGTCTTGAGTTGAGGCACAGGCAGGAACTAAAGGGCTGAAAACTTGCTGGGTCAAACTGAAGCAGATACTTCTTTTACATTTAATAGTGACATACAAACTGAAGAGACAGGTCCAACAAGCAAGTGCAAGCAAAATAAATCTTTGCAAATTTCAATATTCTATTCACAAATGATTACAAACATCGGAGACGTAATACTAGTTCATTTCTAAATGGGAAAGAATAGGAGAAATTTTTAAAAGGGTGACAATTTTGAATTTTAAAATGAAAGAAAAGCTCATAATTCTTAACAACAGTAAAGAGACATAAAAGAATATTATTAATTTATCTTCTAAAAAGGCAGCACAGCGAATTGTTAAAAGCGTGGACTCCAGTCAGCCAACCAGAACCACAGCTGAGCATTAGCTGTGTAAACCTGAGCACATGACTTTCACCCTCTCTCTGTTTCCATAAAAGTTGTTGTGAGGATTAAACGAGTTAAGATTGGTAAAGTGCTTAGAACAGTGCCTGACACTTAGTGACTACTTCAAAAGTACTGTCATAAATATTATTTAATAACATAAAGAAACAGTGGTAAAGTAAGAACTAATGATTATAAAAATTACAATATAAAAATAGGTGATATTATACTTCCATAAAGTTGTTTTAAAGTTAAGTACAATGTGACCATTTTTATGTACATAAAGTATTTGAGGGTTTGTATGACACTTTCAAACTTTTCAATTTATGTTTCATTACATGAGGAAAAAATCTGAATCCACTTAGCATACTCTCTACAGGTGGAGACCCTTAATTGTTTAAAAAGTGCGCTTCCAAAGCTCAAGACAGCAATTCTCCATGAGGCTGCATTTTGGAGAAAGAGCACACACTCAATACTTCCACCAATTAAAGAAACTCATCCCAGCAGTGCATTCAGAAACATGTTGATGAAACCCAGCTACCAATAGCTGAACAATTCCTTCAGCTGGAAGTACACCAAGCTTCCATGGAAAATTCACAGACCACACAGCATACACCCCTGGTACCTGCACTCTTCCTGGTTGGGGCAGCCCCCCAATTCTGCTGCTATCCCCTTCCCGGGGACCCAAAAGTGGCTTCTCACTCTATATAAGGGATCTCCCTAAGGGAAGCCTTCTCAGTTCACCCTGCTATTTGCCCTTTCTCTCAAGCCACCTCTACAGCCAGCGTGAACTATTAAAAGACACTTGTTCAATGACACATCTTTTTATTTCTTATTACACGTTATCCACATCCCTGCAACTCAAGGATGGCTCCCTGTCCAGCAGCATCTAGAAGCATAGCAAGCTGAATCACAGATCCATTGAGCCAGAATTGGCATTTCTAAACAAGAGTCCCAAAGGATACCTATGTAAAGTTTGAGAAGCAATGTTCTAGATGACTACCACATAGCCGTATCATTTTAAAATGCTCGATTTTCCATGTGAATTCAGACATATGCTGTGAAAATTAGCAAGATGTGGAATCAGAAAACCTCATCATGAGAAATAACCAACACATAATTGGATTTCTTTACCAGTGATATCAGAAGTGTTCAAAAGATTTACACTATTTTTCAACGATGTCTACAGTTAATGCTTCCTGCTGTGAGTCACTATTTAGTGCATCAGCACAAAACTAATAATACGCAATAATTTTATTGTGACTATATTTTATTGTCCAAAGAGTACAAAAGAATGACTGGGTCTAGAAACTTCTGCGAAATCCGGTCCAAAGGTATGCAATCTGCGTGCTAAAATTTCGGGATTCAGTCCAATTTAAAGTCAACAATCAAAACTTTTTAAGTCATTTAAAAAAAAGCTTAAGGATGTAAATTTTAAGCATACATCATATTCCTAGAATTAAAACTAGCATGAAAAAGTCATTTGTAGAACCGTAAATTGTTTTGAGAGATTTGTGTTCGTTTATCCAGGAAAGGTAGGGTGGGGGGAAATAACTTTCACCCTCAGCGAAGTTTTTCTCGCATCCTGAAAGGCCTCTCAACTTGCACGTTTTTACAGATGAATAAACTTAAGTCGTACTAACACAAGGTCTCTTTGGTTGCCTCAAAGGTGAGAAAAGTTTCTATCTCTTGCAAAGGTTGCATTTTAAAAGATTTGGGATTGCCGGTCAGTTTCGCTTCCGGCTTATGGAGGAAGCGTGCTACCCAGCGCTGATATGAACAGGGAAATCTACCAAGTAGGAAGTCGAGCCTTAGTCCAGCCACCATGCTCTGCCCTCTGGCTGCAGCTGGTCCCGCAGTCCAGACCCCAGTCTCTCGAGGAGGGTAAAGCAGGCAGGCTAAGGAAGGCAGTCTCCCCGCCTTCCCGCCCTGGAGCTGGGGAGCCTCCCTCCCGCCACCCAACGCGCACGCCGCCCGGGAAGCGCACACGCACGGGGTGGTGCGACTACTCGTCGGCAGTGGCGGCAGCACCCGCACCCTCAGGCCTTCCCGTGCGGAGGCAGTAGCTACAGCAGCAACTAGAAGGGAGGCGGCACTGGGGTTCCTCCTGAGAGGCTGAGGGGGAAGCCGGGGCGGGAGTCATTGCATGTGGGGGATGCACTGGAGGAAGGCAGAGGCGCTCAGAGGGCTCAGCTTTTTTATGATCATCATTTTATTTTACCTGTGGCGCAGAAGGGCTCCCCAGCTCCTACTCCCTGAATCCTCCTCCTCCCTCCTCTTTCAATCTCTCTCTCTCCCTCTCAGTCTCTGCCAGGCGCTCGCGGAACCGACCGGCCCGACCAGAAAGAGAACAGGGCGGGAGGGGTGGTGGCGGCGGTGATGACCAGCGACCACGTGACCACGCTCGCGCCGTAGGGGCGGCCACCTCCTACCGCGGGCCCGCCTGCCGCTCCACCTCTAATAACCTCGGGCTCGCGAGTCCAGAACGCTCGTGCGCAGGCGCCCGCCTAGGCCTGGAGACTGCGTGAACGCGCGACGTGCTCCCTCTGGGGGCCAAGAGTTTGGGGCCCCACGAGGCTCGAGGTGGGGAGTGAGCCGCCGGCTGAGAGAGCGCATGCGCAGGAGGCGTGTTAAAAAAAAATTTTTTTTTTTCCATCTTTTTACCCCGTTCTACCACCCCACCACCGGCGTGCAGCTGGAATCTGTGGCCCGCCACAGGGACTTAGGCACTCACACTCATCACCAACTTGGTGAGAGTGAGAGAAAAGGGGGGCTGTCAGCCCACTAAACTCTCACTGCCTAAGAAATTGCATTTCCTTGTTGTGTGCAAATTGTCCTCATTAGTTATCTATAGCTGAGTAGACTCCTATTCATGCTTCAAGACCCAGCTTATCTGTCACTTCCTCTGTGAAATGTACCACTCTGTTTTGGGAGTTTGCTAGCATTTTTGCGTTGACCTACTATAATATAACCCATACAGAAATAATATATAACAGTTATCTTTTACAAACCCACAATACTAGGCTGGGGGTTTATCTTTTCCACATAACCTAGGATGGTGTGTCTTTAGCATTGCGGCACATAAGCACCAAGTTCTGATGACTATCAGAGTACAGGCAATGCCTAAATCCTATGTCTTGCTGCCCTCCACTTCTGCTTCATCATGATTTAAGATTCCCTTTAATCCAAGCACACGTGGAATGCTAGTGTTTGTTTCCCCGACAGGAAAGCCTTTGAATGGCAATGCTAATTAGAGTAGTAAATGCTTCACCTTGTAAAAAAGATTTATGATCTTTTATTTGCCTATCTTCAGCGAGCACTCCAAAGGAAATTGACACTGTTGAGTCCAGCAAAGGGAAACCAAGGGAGAGAAAGTTCAAATTTCAAAAGGTTAGCTAGCTTCAGAGAGGGTCCCTGTGTGGGAGACCTTTCTTCCTGTCCAACACTGCCCTTAACATAGGGTTTCCCTCTTTTTCTGTTGTCCCTTTTCAAGGAAGAACCTGGACAGGTGAAGTTAGTGCTTCTGAACAGATTTAATAGGGCAAATAATTAAAATGTATAAACTTAATTGACAGTCATGACTAGACCAGTCATCATAACTGTTAAACTAGCAAATACTGACATAGTTTTCAAGAAACAGAACGAACAACAAAATCCCAAAAAATGTTGGGGAAAATGTTGATCAATAAACAATAATAACAAGGGCTTCTGAGAAACTTGGTATAACCATGTCGAGAAGGAAAAATTTTCTACCTTTTTAGTTTCTTTGCCTAGTCTAATCATCAGATTAACATAGCACAGATTAACAGGAGAAAAACATTTAATTACATACATGTGGGGTCCCAAAAGAACATGAGACCCAAAACAAATTGGGCAGTTGGGCCTTACACAATAAGTCTTCACTTAATATTGATAATCGGTGTGTGACTTTAAGTGAAATGAAATATAACAAAATCAATTTTACCACAGGCAAATTGATATAAACAAGTTCCTAAGGCATTTCAACATAACATAACAACATTGAAAGAAATGACATTGTTCGAGGACCTGCTGTACTGAGCCTTAGCTCAGGAATGGCATGGGGAACTGGGTTTAAATGAGGGCAAAGGTAATTCACAGGAAAATCAGAAGAACAAATGTTTGGTAATTAAATGTTTGTCCTGCCATACAGATAGGTCATTCTGATAAAAAGGTAAGCCTGGTAATAGCTCTTTCTGGGGCACATGGTCTATATAAATTCTTTTAGTAATTTAGTGACAGGTAAAAATTTTTCTTGAATCTATTGGACCTTGAGTGCCTTCCAGTAATCCACACTGCCAAAGTGGACTATCAAAGTGTGCCCCTTCAGTCACAACCCTCAAAACCCCGATCTTACGTGTCTGCAACATTGATGGACACTTCACCGCACTCACTAGTGTACACACCCACAGAAGGATCTTACCAAGTAGTTTGTTACTACCTGGTGCATGTAAGTAGCTTCCTATTCTAAATATCCAACCCAAGATTCAGACTCTATGGAAGAATATAATTTTGGTGGCTCCTAATGAACCATGCCTTCCCAGTATTCACACCCTTGTGTAATCCTAACTTCTTGCATCTGTGCTAGACTCCTCATATGCATTAAACAATAGAATGTAGCAAAAATGACTATGGCAGTTTAGGCCTAGGCCTTAAGAAGGCTTTGCAGTGACCATGTTGAACTTTACCAGAGCTAGAGTGATGAAAAACAGAAGCGTATTAGGAAATCCCCACCCCTCCACCTGTCTGTTCTGGGAAATGGCTTAAAACAAAACAAAACAAAAAAAAAACATGCCCTTCCCCATATGATTTAGGTGAGATTCACAACCCATTTTTTCTCATAAGACTGGAAGATGACTCCTTGTTTACCTGTGGCAAAGCCAAACACAGATCTTTCTCTTTTTGCCTAAACATGTTCACAAGTTCAGACAAAACTTTTTTAATTTCCTGTTCACTCTTGAATGATTAGCTGAGATTAGAACTGTTTGTCCCCTTGAAACTAGCTAGACTCAGAGATAAACATTTCCCGACTGATAGAGACGTCCCCTGATTACAAAATAATCCCAACTGTAGTCAATCCACCTCTAATCTGTCTACTCCTCCCTATAAAAGCATAAAGTACAACTACCCTGCCAAAGGCACTCTGATCTCCATCTTCAAATCTGGGTACTCTCCCTACTTCAGTAGCCAAAATAAAATCTATTTCCTTGCTTGTTTGGTTTTTGTCTTTTGTCAGTCACTTCTGGTTTTGCCCTATGGGGGAAGCACAAGGTAAGAAACCCAGCCTCTCTGACAGTACTGCGCTGTGAGAAGTCTAACCTCACCATGCAGAGAGGCCGAGAGGCCGAGAGGCCGAGTGGAGGACAATGGAGGCTCCCAGCTGGCAGCCCCAGCTGTGCTCTGGTTGGACACAGGCCACACGTGTGAGTTGGTCGAGTTGCGGAGCTGTTCTCCATCAAGCCCCAAATTGCAGAATTGTAGGCAAATAAGTTTGTTGTTGTGTTAAGCCCCTGAGTTTGGTGGTGATTTGTTAGGAAGCAATAAATAACCAGAAGAGACCTATATATCTAGCTCCCTACTAGAGATATGTCCCAAAGGGTTCCACTGGCACCTCAGACTCAACCTGCTGAAACTGAGTTTTTCAGATTCTCCCCAAATCTTCCCCTTTTCTTGTGCTCTTACCTGTACTGGTGGTGCATTATCTCCCCCTCCCACCCTGAGCCCCAAGCAGGTAACCCTTGAGCTTTCCTGGAACTCTTCCTTATCCTGCAACATTCGGGCCCCAGGTAATGGGGTACCTTCTCCAGTACCACTTACATCTTCTCACCTCCGATCCTTATCATCTCTCTCCTGAACTACTGAAAATTAGTCATTTTCTTCCACATTGCAAAAAAGAGTGATGTATGCATCCAGATTACCTTAGGGGTTTATTGGCAGGCCGGAAGTGAGGAGACGTGGGAAACCAGCCCAGGCATCTCCCATCACCTGCATCCTCTTGATTTCAAGACTGGGAGGCCCAGCTGTGGAGAGCCATAGCAATGACCCCATTTTTCAGGCTACGGTTGTGGTTCTAGGGATGCAGCTCCTCTCCGGCTTCTCATATCCTTAGTCTCCCAGGAAAAAACATGAGGAGTCTCCTGGTCCCCAGTGAGCACGGAGATATTGATGGGGCTGAGAGTGGCCTGCAATCTAATCTAGGAAAAAGAAACTTAAGTAATAAAGCTGATGATTAATAACTCTGGAAAATATAAACATTGTATGAAATTCATTTTGAGTTGCGCTATTGATAATACAATTCATATTTTAAACTAGAAAAATTAAATTTGAACCAACATCAGCATTCTTAGAAAAAAACAATTGAGACAATTTTGCAGCTACGTGTGTGGTGCAATAGTTGGTTCTCTGCTTTAGCATCTGCGTACATCCTTCTCTGTCGTAGAGAAGCTCAAAAAGAAAAAAAAAAAAGCAGCTGGTGTTCTCTAGGAAAGGTGGAAGCTCTCACCCAGCCCTCTGCCTACTGGGGCATAGCCTGGACTCACTCTGGCCAGGCCAGCATCTATATCCCCATGCACTGGCTCTTCTCTCCTCCGTTCCACTCAGCTGGCCTGGGTGAATAGGCCACCATCAGACCCTGAAATTGCCGTGGTGGCCTAGACTAACATGATGACACCATGGGCATCTGCAGTCTGCCAGTGAGATGGGTATGGTAAGTGTGGGCTGTGTGTGTAACTGATGACAGGAATCATCTCCTCCTTTGTTACCTTTTATGTTCATTTATGGAAATGCCCTGCTCAGATCTCCCACTGCAGGGAGCATAGTCAAATTTCAGTCTTAGTTGCCGCCTGCTGGATCCACCATTGTGTTTATGCTGAAGCCACATTTCCCCTGGGCTGTTCCCAGTCAAAGACTGAGCAGGACAGAGGTATTAGTGCAGGCTCATTATCAGGAAATGCAGGTTGGCTCTAATGGGCGGCTTTGGCTGGAGGATTCCCCAAAGGCCTGTTCAAGCTTTCTGAGAACTGGCTGCGGCCTTAGGATCTTCCTAGCCAACTTTCTTCCTTTCCCCTTAGCTTTTACAGGTGTCACACTTGCATCGTGGCCTGAAGTTCCTCCCACCCTGCTCGTCCTTCCTTCATTTTATCCTTCGCTGGTGTTCTCTCATTAAAACTATTGTACATCCAATCTCACCTTGGTATCTGCTTCTCTGGGAGCCTGAACTGAAATACACCCCATTCTGTGACTTCCTCTGGGCCACCCTCAGACTAGAGCCACAGGTCACAGTTATGAATAATAACAAGAAAACTAAGTTTTTAAATTCTTTTGCATTTTGAGTTTTGAAGAAATTTTCATCTTTCAGAACCAC